ATATGTTTTTATTTTTATTTTTTTGTCAAAAATATATATATATATATAAAAGGGTCTTACATAACTGTGTCGACAACATCTAGAAGTTAGTAATTTGAAAAAATGTTTAAATGATAATGATATTACTTAGCTAGCTTTTGATTCCTAATCAGCTTATGAGTTACGTATGTTTTTATTTTTATTTTTCTGTCCAAAAAAAAAAAAAAAAAAAAAAAATTAAAATTAAAATTGTCTCACATAACTGTGTCAACGGCATCTAGAAATTAGTAATTTAAAAAAATGTTTAAATGATAATGACCCTTATTAAACTTAATAGTCCAGTCGAGAGAATATTATTCATGAAGACTTGGTCCATCCGCGACGAAAACTAAATTTGTAGTAAATAACAGTGTATTTACTATGAAACAATTTTCATAGAAAATAGGGGAAAATTCGCTATGAAAATATTTCGTAGCAAATGGTAGATAATTTATTTTTTCCTCTAAATTATGGTAGATAATTTACTATCAGATAACAATTCTTTGTAAATAGAAGGGCATTTATTACGAAATAACAATTCATAGTAAATAAAAGAGTATTTACTACGAAATCATTTTCGTAGGTCATATAAGAGAATTTACAAATACTAGAATATTTACTACAAAGTTTATTCCCTAGTAAATAGCAATGTAAAGGTGACAAAGTATAATTTTCGCACCAAATACAACCGTATTTACAACAAAATTAATTCTGTAGTAAATATTTCCTAACTAATAACCTATTTTGTAGTAGTGTATTGAGATTAAGTTGCCTATGCAAATTCAGCTTTTTTCATGAATTCTCTAATATTAATGAATGTGTTTTCAAGTTGTTAAAGGCTTAGACCCAAAATTCAATCTTCTTCAAAAATTAAAATTGGTCTTGGAATATGTTTACAAGTTGTATGTGAAATGGTTTCAGTTTATCCGAATTACTATGGATAATGAATGTATTACATGATTCCGATTTGAATTGCGCGCATCTATGTTTGGAGTATGGAATTGACATTTTATATGGAATTAGAAAAAAAAAAAATTAATTCAAAATTTAAATTGAATTTTTTTTTTTAATTTTAATTTTAAGACATCAATTTAACACTTCCAAATGTAACCACTTGTCTTAAATTCAAATTTGGACATAGATCGTGATTTATACTAAGTTCCTCCATTTTTGTAGTCTAATTATGTTAAGACATGATAAGAGGTTTAATTTATTATTATTATTTATTGGGATTTTGTATTCTCTAAATAATGGGTTAATCAATATTTAATGATGACTTGGTGACAACATTCATAAACAAGCTTTCTTTGCTTACAAGCTTTAGGCCATCTGCTGCGGTATGGCCAAAGCTCATTTTCCACGAGCGTGAAGGGCCTTTGGATGTGTAGCGGTATGGCTAAATTGGTGGGGCCTAATTTTGCTCGCGAGTTGGCTTGCGATATTCAGCAAGCTGGCCCGCGATTGTGGAATTTTTTATTTTTATTTTTATTTTTTTTGTGTCAAAGTAAACGGCGCCGTTTGCAACAAACCTGTTTTGTTTTTTTCTCCTGCTATTGTACAATGCGCGGCACTATTTGGCAGACCTAAAAATAGGTTATTTAGAGCTCTCTTTTTTTGGAAAAAAATAAAATAAAATTCATTAAATAAAAAATATATTATTTAGGTATTATTTGTCAAAAAAAAAAATTTTGAAGCAAAAAATATATTAAAAAACCCCTCTTTTTTTCCCTTAAAATTTAGTTTTTTTATTTTTATTTTTTTTGCTTTAAATTTTAAATGTGTAGGCCAAATAGTGTATTTGGCCGTTAAGGCACTGTTTTCTATAATACCAAACAGTACCTTAACGGCTATAATTTTGAAAAAAGTTTAAAAATTCAAATTTTACCTTTTTTTGTTTAAAAGTTCTCATAGGATTTTGTAATCCTTAGTCTATTTATTTTCTTATTCCAATTTAGGATATTGTATTGTTTAAGTTATTTTTAATTGTTTTGTTTAATTTGTTTGTATTTTTAACCCATAATGCATAATGTATTGTTTCAAGTTCTAATATCAATCGTAGTTTTTTTAATAATTTACAAAAATATTGTTCGATTGAAAAATATTGCCGTTGAAAAAATATAGCCGTTGCAAATATAGCCGTTAAAAATATAGTCGTTAAAAATATAGCCGTTTAGGAAAAGTTAAAAAAAAAAATTTTAATTTTAATTTTTTATTATTATTTTTTTTGGAGAGCGAAAATTCGGAGAGCCTGATGAAGTGCATGTTTCTGGAGAGCAAAAACTGCTGACGTGACTCTTGGAATTGCTGATATGGCTCTTGAAAAAACTGATGTGACATTTTTAAATAGTCAAAATCAGAAGAGGCCGGTGCAAATGGCCTTATAAGTACATAATCCACTCGTGATTAGACAAAAGTGGAAAAGGTTTTCGAAGGACTAAATTAAAACTATTATGAGAAGAGATCAAAATCTAGATCCCACACCAAGGTAAGAATGTGTAAGATCATTTGAAAGCATAAGATTAGCTGCATGTGGTCCCTCCGTAGGGTGGAATATTTCTTGCCCCTTGGGGCCGTAAGGGGCATGAGGACAATATATATATATTACACAGAGAGAGAGGTCTACTTGGTAGATGTTTACAGGATTCCCGACAGTTGTAGTCCCTCTGAGAAATTGCCATTGTCCTGGCCCAAGACTGTAGACAGTTGCCCTTGTCCTGGCCCAAACTGTTGCAAAATCCTACTGTATCTCTCTCTCTAAATAATTAGATAAACTTAAAATAGTTACATAACCGAGGGCCTTCCACGTTACTTAAAAGGTTAAAATACAATAACCTCTTTTGATGTTTCAACAAATTACATTAACCTTTGTTCAATATTTATTGCTTTAACTTTGGCGTAATTTTTCAAAAAAACACTTTTTTTATTTTTTTTTTTATTTTTTATTTTTTTGAGCTGATATTCGCCTTTTCTTTATTGACTAGGATTCCTTTCATCTTCTCTCAGGTTCCCTCTGTAATTTGATATGTATGCATATTCCAATAACATTGCAGTCATTTGTATTTATAGAAAAGCTATACAGAATATTGGTTTACAAAGAAAAGAATAATAATCTCAATAATCAAGTTATACAATAGAAAACAATAATATAATCTCTATAGTGAACTATACATTAAGAAAGAATAATAATCTATAATAATCCCTATAATCAAGCTCCATAAATCAACCTAGAATTAAGGAATTAAGGTGATTGATTGATATTTTTACACCCTCCCACAATCACAGCGGCGCTAGCGACTTTGAGACTGGAACGTGCTTGAGTAAATCAAGCAACAGAAGACCCTTAGTGAGAGAGTTAGCCAACTGAGCATGACTAGGAAAAAAAAGCACTTGGAGCAGCACGTTCCCGATAAAATGGTAATCAATTTCTATGTGTTTGGTATGACCATGGAGAACCGAATTGGCAACAAGATATGTGGCACTGATATTATCACAAAATAGAGTAGGAGGCTTGTGAGGAAAAATACCAAGTTAACGAAATAGGGATTGGAGCCAACATAGGTCTACAGTACTAGTTGCCAAAGCATGATATTTGGCCTCAATGGAAGACCGAGAGATTGTTTGTTAACTTATGTAATTGCCAACAACACACCGGTGCCCTTTTTCTTTCTTTTTCAGATACGATGCTGTTTCGAGTACTCGCAAAATCTTGCATCAACATTAAGGTCTAGGTTAAGAGTTAAATGAAAATGATGTACAATTAATTAAATGACATATGATAAGATAAGATAAGATAAAAGTTTTTCACTACTTTTTGGCCTGTGTTTTGTATATATTCTCATTTCTTAGTGGCTTTACTGCATTATTTGTTAACCTTAATGTGTGTGTGTGTGTAAATGACCGTAATTTTATTTTATTTTATTTTTCTTTTTTCCGACTTGGGTACAAAACATGTATATAAGTATCTAAGTTTTAAATTAAGAAATGAGAATGAGTCTTCATTTTTCTATTTTCTGGTTTGTACTTAGCTCGTTGTTTTGGAATGGTGTAAGATGTAAGTACCCATAAGGACAATGAAAGGCAGAATGGGTACGGAGCTAGTCCCAAGGCAAAACGCCAATGGTCCAAAAGAAAACATGAAAGCAATTGGTATTTTTTTTTTTTTTTTCTCAGTAATTAAAATTAGTTTTTTAATATAACACATTAACACACATATAAGTTAAGTCTTCTACTCCTAATTTCAGAATTTTTGAAAACTGACTTGTCCTACTGATGCACTGAGTCATAAATTATGTAGATTACTATTAAGTTGGAGGAGCGTAGCCCATAGAGTTTTTACCAAAGAGTAAATGGAATTTTTTTATCCCTCATCAAGTGTCCGTCATTTTGAATTCTCCCATAGATTTTTTAAACTTTTTATACATTATTTACAATTTATTTCATGAAATTTGTTACTATTTAAGATTTTTTTTTACCAAACTATTTAAGATTTGAATTCTCCATTTTTTATTCTGAAATGTCAAAAAATACCATTAAATTGCACAACCTTTAATAAATGCCTTATCGTTTGAGTGATTATTTTTAACAGTTCAATTTCAAAAATGGGGAAGTACTCATTTAGAAAAAGGTGGGGGAGTAGCTATCCAAAGTCATTTTGTATGGAGTTACAAAGTCTTACTGTATTAAATAGAGACATACTTCACTCAAAAAATTTTAAGTTTTTAACATTTTACCGAAACAAGAAAAAAAACAAAAAACAAGTAACAAAACACTGTGGAACCCTTGAAAATGACTAAATTGCAGTCAACAATGGGGTTAAAGATGGTTAGCATCAACATCAAAATCAAAGAACAGAGAATAAATACGTCATGGTTCAGAACAATAGTGTTGCAATTGTAGATCCCCAGTAAACCACCTCGTATTTAAACCTTGGGGATGGGGGTACATCGCATTATTTCCCGAGCTTATAGAGAGAGAAAGTAGAGAGAGAGAGACAGAGGGAGCGTGGTCATATCGTCATCCTCTGCATTTCTCCTCCCTTTCCAATTCCCAATGTGAGAGAGAGAGAGAGAGAAAGAGTGTTGGTTCTCTCTCTCTGGTCATGGTCAGGTGGGACTTGGGAGTGAGTGAAAACAAGATAAAGGAGATATAAATAGGGGCGAGAGAGAGAGAGAGAAAGAGAGAAAATATCTCGCACACACAGTCACACCTACTTAAATTCTCTTCCACAAATCAAAATAAACGCTAAGTTATGCTTTCGTTGATCCGCTTTTTCCGCTTCTCCACCACAAACCCTTCTCTGTGACGACTTCTTATGTCATTTTCATTCTCATCCATTGTTGGAAGGTAGCTTTTTTCTATTCTCTTTCTAGTTTTGTTTGTCTTCAAAGAAAAAGTAGAAGAAAGCTCTTTGCTAGTTATGGGTAGAGAGTGGTTGTATTGGGGTGGTGGTAGTGGTAGTGGGAGATCCACAAAGAAAGGAAGAGGTGTAGAGAGAGAAAGTAGTAGTAGTAGTACTACTACTACTCCTTCTGGCTGCATGAGTGCTGTACTTCAACTCTTTGATTTTCATCTCTTTCATCAGTTTGCTTTACACCAACAACAACCACCCTCTTTCAAGCCTGACTCTTTCCTCCCTGATGAACCCACTATTCTCAAAGGCATGCTCTCTCTTTCTCTCTCTATATATGCATACATATATATATATGTATGGAATTTTGGGTAATGGTTATTTTTGTGTAATATTGCAGGGGTAGAGGCACCAAGAAACAGCTTGGAAACACAGGAGCCTTTCATGGGAGCTATTAATTCACTGCTAATATCAACAATGAAAGGAGATATACCCGTGAGTGTAAACATAATTATATACTACTATATATATTATTTATTTATTTTTATTTTACTTTTTGCATTTTCCATGTTATCTTAGAGATTCTGGTTTTGTAAAGTAAGTCATGATGAAAATTATGATGGGATTGTGTTGGATATGTCTTTAATTATTAGTATTTTTTTTTTTTTTTTGAATTTTGAAAATGAATGCAGATGGGTATTCAAATTAAAACAAGAACAGATGATTTATCTTCAGAATATAGCAGCTCACCTGGTACCAAGACCCCAAATCTAGTAGCTAGATTGATGGGTCTCGATCTTCTTCCTGAAAACTCCTCTCCTTCATTGTCAACCTCTTCCAATCATTCAACTTCAAAGCCACATCTGCAACAAGAGTCTCACTCTCAACGGTTGAGAAGTTCCGGGTTGGACACAAATATAGTGGGTACACGTTCATTGCCGGAGACGCCGAGAATGTCGTCGGAGAGGAGATCGGATGTTGATCACCGGCTTTCGCTTCAGATCAACAAGGAGAACATTGGTATAAGCGAAGAAATTGAGGTGTCGAGGAGTAGAAGAAGAGATATGAAGCTAGAGGAGGAGATTAAGAGTCCAAGCCAGTATGCAAGACAAATTGTGAAGCAAGTGAGAGAAAGTGTTGGCAGGAAAGTTGGTCTTGACATAACCAATTACACCACCAGAAACAGAGACGAGCATGATGTTCTCAGAAGGAAGAAACAAGTCAAGGCTAGTTTAGCCAAGCTCGGAGACGAATCGAACCCGAGTAAGCAGTCAACACCTTCTTGCTCACCAAGGCTGAGGTTCATGGAAGCCAAGAACAGAACAGTCACAAGTACAGTGTCCACCGAGAACCAAAATTCTCACAACCCAAAATGCTCATCATCTCCATCATCAACTTCTTCGTTGATCAATATTAATCAGTCAAAACCCAGTAAAGTTTCATGGAAGCCGAAGCATGAGCCATTGCAGGTGCAACGACAGCAAAATTCATCAATCCAAAAATGTGAGAAAGCTAGCACTGAACGCTTTGCTCGTCGTCTCAAAAAGCCTCTGAAAGCTTCGGATTCGATTCGGAACAAGCAAGAAGAACCATTTGTTCGTGCATTAACAACAAACAGAGCAAACCAGTCAGACAACAAATGCAAGAAAACTCCATTACCAAGTGAGATTTTTTCAGTCAAGAAAGACCCTTCACCTCCAGCCACAAAATTACCTCAAAAACAGGTACTTTTATTTAATTTTTTAGATATTCAATTTATTTTTAAAAACTTTTTATTAATAATGGGTGTATTTGTTGTGAAAAAAAAACAGTACTCACAAGCTGATACTCTTCCATCGAAATCGAGCACACAGTTATCAAGTTATTCGTACAAACAAGAAACGACGCATAGGCCCACCATTCAAGAAAACAGCATCCATGACAGATCCCGTAGTGCCTCCGCCGGAGATGGAGAGGAATTTCAGTACATTTCAAGAATACTAAAACGTACCGGCATCGACGCAAGTACTCCCGTGTCCTACACCAAATGGTACACCCCCTCCCGCCCTCTCGACCCCTCACTCTTCCACCACCTGGAACTCACCACCACCGCCGCCACAAAATTGAGACAAAGACCCAACAGAAAGCTAATTTTTGAACTAGTGAATGAAGTTCTTGTTGAAGTGTTGAAACCATATGTGAACTTGAAGCCATGGGTAGTCACTGGTGGACCTGACCGTGAAATGAATGGGTCGGAGTTGATAGACCGTGTTTGGACGAAGATAAAAGGTTTCCCTTTGGCCGATTGTAGAGTTTTGGAAGACATTGACAAGCTGATCGATTTGGGCTCGTGTGATTGTGAGCTTGAAGAGGAAGGTGAGAGTATAGTGTCTGAGATCGAACGGGACGTGACGGAGTGGCTAGTGCATGAGACGGCGATGGTGGTGTGGAATGTCCGTACGACGCCAGGTGGACGACGAACCAGAAGCAGAGTCTGACGGACGTCACATGGGTGGTTCACGTGATGAGATGCGATTCGTTAAGGGTGTGGGGTCCACTTTTCTCGGACTTGTAAAGAGAGATTGGAGGGCTACACGTGGTGTTAAAAGATAATGACTGTTAGGCTGACACCACTCGCTTTCTTAGTTAGTCTTATGTGTATTATTTATTACCTTTTTAATTTTTTTTAGTAATATATAATAAATGAATATAAAAAATAATGTTTAGATAGCTTTTTCATTTTCCGGGTTTCAAATTTGCCATCAAATGCTAAGATACTCTCCAGTGGTCTAGGATTTAATTTTCAATTTATGTTCATTAGTGATGACAACTATCCGATTAGACATTCACTTTGGACATGACCTAGCAATTTATTTGTTCAATTTTAAAATTTAGTAAGTTTAAAGTTTGGGATTTGAGTTTCTTTGTGGCTAGTCTTTGCTTTCCTTATAATAATTTACTCGGTCCGAGTGGAGAGGTGTTCTTTCGGATCTTCAAAAATTAGTCGGACTGTTAAAGAATCCTAGGGATTCGTGTCATTTCGGACACCTGATTTTTTTTTTTTTTTTTTTTTTTTGGGAGTACATGTTCCTTCTAAATTTGATCAGGATTATGGATATGGTTTTTTCAAACTTAAATTACAATAATGGTATAAGATGGTATCTTATCCATTGTAACTTATTTAAATATAGATCATTACCTCACAATCTGTAGCATGAGATTTAAATCAGTCAAAATGTTATATGGTATTAGAGCCCCTTTTTTTGACAAACGTCTACTTTCAAATGGAGTTCGCTTCCCTGTTAATGTTACCACACAAACTACTTCTACTGTTATATTGCTATTATACAAACACAAGTTTCTATTTTAAAAAAAAACCTTTAATCATCATATTACAAGTTGTTTTTACTACAACGACCAACTCTTACGCCAATTTCAGTTCATTCTGTGATTCGTAATCATGTTTTAATGGGTTTTCTTGATGGCTCTCTTATTTGTTCACCTCATTTTATTTCTCCAGAAAATTCATCCTCATCTCCAAAAGTAAGCATAATGTCACGGGTCTAGAGATTTGGTGCAGCAGCACGGCCCGTGCGGCACCAAAGCGTTGCTTCAGTTCACGCAAATACCCTGATCAGCCACCACGACCTGCCCTCCCAAGGATACATACTGACTGGTTTCGACCTGCCTTGGTCTCATCAGAGGAACGGCTCCAGCTCCCGACCAATTTGTGCAGGGATGGCCAACTCCCTTCTTCATAGTCAAGTCCACGACTAACGACAAGCACCTTGAACTAAACTGAGTTGACCTGCCTGAACTTTGAAGAGGTATCATCTTGTAGTCCTGCACGCCCCTTCCCTGGAACCATTCCCAGTCAATGAATGTTCTTAGCCAACCAGCATGCGTGTCTTCTATGCTCATGGCGTCATTAGGAATTAGAATGTGACATTCTCCCCCCACCCAAATCCTGCGACGCCCTCGTCGCAGTGCGGCACTGACTCCGCTGCGTCCAACATTTCAAAGTCTCTCTCCTCCAAGTGATATGCTTACCTGCCCACCATCGCTTCCTTGTACAACCCCTGGCTGCACTCGCCCAATGATAGGGTTTTGGGCTAAAGGGACGCCCACTTCTTCGGGACGCAACCCTACGTTATGCCGCCTCCGCGACACCCCGAGCAAACAAGGGCCCTTCGGCTGACTTGATACTCGCCCTTCACAACGGTTTGCACGCCTCTTGAACTTGCAAGAACTTTGGTGCGCGCGGCCTTCCAGCCATCTGATGTGCGCGGCCCTCCGGCTTCAAAGGACACGTCTTCTTGGGGAGATAGAGGCTCTCCTCCAATAGCATTGATTGCCCACCGACGCTTTAGTGCACCCACTTCATTCTCAAGACCCCCAAATCAACAAGGGGGCACACCTCTGTGCTTTTCCCCAAGTCCTGCTCTGATACCATTTGTCATGGCCTAGAGATTTGGCACAACGGCACGACCCGTATGGCACCAAGGCGTTGCTTCAACTTGCGCAAGCGCCCTGGTCAGCCACCACGACCTGCCCTCCTAAGGATACATACTGACTGGTTTCAACCTGCCTTGGTTTCATCAGGGGAATGGCTCCAGCTCCCGACCAGTTTGTGCAGGGATGGCCAACTCCCTTCTTCATAGTCAAGTCCACGACTAACGACAAGCACCTCGAACTGAACCGAGTCGACCTGCCTGAACTCTGAAGAGCCCAATGGGGCCACTGGATTTCCTAACTAGGTTTAGGAGAATAGATACTACTGACTCAGCCCAGGGCGAATCTAGCCCTTTCAATAGCGATGGAGAATTTAGTAACAATAAATCTAGAATAGCAATTCCAAGTCCAAAGACCCAACTACAAACTTTGGGTTGCTTTACCAATTTACCCAAACGGCTGCCAAAATCATGAACACCATGGCCAAGAAAAGCCAGAAAAAGTTGTTGCAAACTCTACAACCAACTAACCAGAAAGTGTGCTCCTACAAGAGGAATAGATTCTCCTGTCCATTGTTGCTGAAAAAAGCTTGGATCACACCTTTGGAAACCCGAACAAGGGCAAAGTGTGAGCTTTAGAGTGAAAAATGGCAAGGACGAAGGCACAGTCCATAGACCACGGAAACTTGAGGCGGCACGTCTCTAATAGTCGATTGACCTTCCATGGAAACCCATAAAAAAAGACCCATAGATGGAGGGAACAATATGAAAGCAAGCCGAAAAAACTTAAAAGCAAACAAACCCGGGAAGAACAGTGTAGCAATATCCGGATCAAAAGGAAAAGACCACATTCCCCAAGTGTCGATTCGGTCCGACAACACATAGGATCGGTGGACACGAGAGGAGAGGGGAGCTATCCCAAAGTAAAAAGAACACACCACTATGGAGAAGCACTCCAAAACTCTGATGGACAGAGGACCTCTACAGTGAGAAGAAGAAAAAACTCCAATGGACAGAGAAACCAAAAGACAAGAAAAACGGGGTAGCGAATTGAACTTCATCCTCCACAAACTAAGAAGAAGGGATCGATCGAGGAAACATGTGAAGGAAAAGAGTGAAAATCGGGGTAAAAGATGGGCTCTCTCTTACTAGAAGTTAGAGAGAGCAAAAAAGCCCCTAGCGGCCACCCTCAAACCCTGCTTGTTTATTACAAACTATGACATGTGTTTCGTGAATTCTTAAAGAAAAAGAAGTTGGACACTTTGACGTAGGATGTGTTAATCAAAGAGCCTACGATGTGTTAATCAAATGTCCAAAATTTGTCGGCTAAGTATTCCAAATGTGTCTACCAAGTATCCAAAATAATAAAAATAATTTTTAAATTATGAATACGACCATGAAATGTCAGACATCTGTCTAGAAGTATTCATAAAATGTCAATGTCAACACAAACACAACACTTTCGTAGAAATGTCCATACTTCTTAAACTCTTTATCATGGATAAAAATAAACTCTCTCACTCTAATTGATTATCTCTATTATTGCAATATTTCGGTAACAAAAATAGATAGACGTTTATATCATATCTTTTTTCAATCATATAGATATTATGTTTTTATTTCATTTTGACAAAAAATATACTTACACACTGTTCGCGCGGTTTTTGTTCCCTACGCCGGTCGATGGATTCTTCGCGGGCGTGCTAGAGTATTTGTACAAAATACCCAAAATATGTAATTGAACACCAGCCTATCCCTTTTTCCGATGGCTGACTCTCAGGCGATTGTGTGGGAGAGAGATTAGTAAGAACTCCCAGCAAGGTTCTTTTATGCCTTGTTTGTAGCAAGGACTTTTTAGAGTGTCTAAAGAAATGCAACGGCTGATGAATGTTTGAATGGATGGAATGGCCGAGTGAAGACAGGCGGCAAGAACTTAATCGATCGCTGGCCGAACATGATGGCGAGAACTTAATCAATCGCCATCAGCCAAACACAATGACAAGAATTTAATCGATCGCCACCAGCCAAACACAATGGCAAGAATTTAATCAATCGCCACTGAAACGTGATAGCAAGAATTTAATCAATTGCCATCAGCCAAGTAATGACAAGAATTTAATCAATTGTCACTACGATTCAATGGCAAGAATTTAATCAATTGTCATTGAATTGAAAGCCTAACTAAAATTGCGTAATTAAAATTGGCATAATTGAAATTGAAAGAAAGTAAATGGCTGAATCGAAATAGTTGACGAGGATCTAATCAATTGCCATTAAATTGAAATAAAGAAATTGATAGGAAAATGACGTAGAGTCAATTGAAAACATTTTTAGTTGAAATGCATGTTTTGTGGTGGTGCTGGACCATTGGAATAGGATTACATCTTTCCTACTTATAGAATTCTTTCTCAACTTATTTTCCTAACTTCTTGCCAGAAAATCTCTCATTCCCTTGATTTTCTTCACTTCGTTATTCAAACTAGGTCAAAACCCAGTATTCTTTTGCTTCTTATCTCGTCTTGCTCCTTGTTTCAATAAGAAAATCCTTGCTGGAAACTTTCTTTGATCTAGTCAAATGTAAGTTGCTAGAATGTTGCTAAAAAGTTGCTAAGTTCTAGCAACTTCCTTTTATAAACTTGGCAGCTGTGTTCTATCCCAAGTGGCCCATCCTTTAGCGCCATGTCAAGGCCACTTGTCACAATTAGATTTGTTCACTTCATATCTCCAAAGCTTTCCTTCTATACATGTCTCCAAAGCTTTCCTTCTTTCATCCAACTAAACTTCCTATTTTATAGGAATTTAATTATTGAGTTTCATCCAAACTCTAGCCTTTTCATTTTCTATTAACAGCCTATTTTGAAAAAATTCAAATGTGAGTTGCTATATTTTAGCAACTACCATATCCATTAGGTGGCTGAAATATATCTTCCTATATTTGCTCCTAATATTTTTAAACTGGCCGATCCCCTTGACTCTATATTAGAAATACCTATTTGCTTCTTATTGGTCCACGTCATCGTTGAGATGGCTGCCAAGTTTTGGTGCCAACAAATGCCCCCCAAATTTCAAATGTCTTATCGGCCACTCAGGCTGATAAGATTTTTGGAATTTTTGTAACATGAAATAAACTGGCAGCCAGCGAGCTTCTAGACTTTATTTCTTCCGAACCACCTTTAAGTTGGTCTTTATTTTGCGTCAGCCAGAACTAGCCGATCCTGGTTCTTCTGTTGTTCCCATAAAGTTAGCTGATACCTCTCAAAATATTGGCCAATTTTTTAT